ATGCCCTGCACATCAACGGCTTAGTACGTAATCTCGTGGCTGAGAGAGACTAAAGTGGTCTGGCTAGCAGCCTAAATGCATTTCGAGCTAGCGCGATTCGATTCCGGATTTCTTCGGCCCGTCCGTTAGCTATTATATCAGAGCCCAAATAGCGGAAGCAGCTAACTTCTTCCATGGGTTGATCACTGATAAACAGTGGTTGTGCTGTGCCAAGATGTTTAGTCACGAACTTTGTCCTGCGTATATTGATCGTCAGACCAACAATTACAGCGAAACTGGTGATTCGGTCTAGCGTTGGCTGTTGTGACTGAGGGGTGTTATCAAGTACGACCATGCCATCTGCATACTGCAAGTCAGGTACCCTGAATTTAGGACTCGTTTCATATCCGTTATCAGGTTGAATTGATTGATGGATTACCCAGGCGACTAAGAAGTTGAAGAGAACTGGGGGAAGAAGACATCCTTGTCGAACTCCAGAAGTCGGTGGAAAAAATCTGACCCTTCACCAGGCCCCCTTACTCGAATTGACGTTGTGCTATTGTAGGTTTTGATTAGATTGAGCAACTTTATTAGAAGACAGCAAACAGTATTTTACACAAGGCTTCACTGTCGATGGAATCAAAAGCGGTCTTGAAGTCAATGAAATAGGCGGTGGTAATCCGTTGATTTCGGTGTCGGTGTTCGAGTATGCGGCGCAGAATGTAGACCTGGTCAGCACATCGTCTACCTGGACGAAACCCACTTTGCGTAAATTTCGCTCAATCGAAAATCTATTGAGAGGGATGGTCGCAAATGCTTTGGCGGCTACAACGATGGGACTGGTGCCCCTATAATTGGGACATATGGACGCTTCACTGCCCATCTACATGATGGAGAAGGACCAGTCAGTGGGGATGACTTTTGTAGACCATATAGTCAATTACAGTCGATGAAATGTTTCTGTCAAAGCAAAACAGGGCAAAAAAAGCTTATGTAGCCTCACTCATATACCCCTAGTACCAGCATTTTGTCCCGAAAAAACGGTGGTTATAGATTTTTGTGGGGTGGAGAAATAGGATAGGCAGAGAAGGGAATTTTTAGAAGTAAG